AGAAAATCCTCAGTGCCTTAGGACCAGGACCCAGACATCGAAGAAGACTTCGCTCAGGAGACTCTGCAGAGAACATTCTTGCATCAGCTATCGAGCTTTCCAGAACATTTTGTCGCTGAGTTCCATTATGTGAAATTACTTGCTTTCTGGCGAAATCGTCCGAGACTCTGTTCATGCACTTAGAGAGTGAGTTCAGTGCATATTGAGTGCGGTCTGATGAACAGAAGTATGACACTGTACTTCATCTTGACGAGGAAACCTCTAATATCATTGCGGACGTTCTCGAAAGACCACCTGAAATAGAAAAATATGAGAATATTAAATGCGTTCTCATAACTCGCCTTAAACTCGACTTCAAAGAGAAGTGACTGCGGACCTTGCTGATGGGCATAGAATTAGGGAATATCATAGCACTGTCGAGGAAGATGAAAACGCTGGCTGGTGATCGCGTCTTGGATGAGCTGCTAAGAATTTTGTGGCTACAGCGGTTGGCCACGTGCATACAGGAATTTCTGCTCATCTTCGACAATTCAGCGTTGGAGAAACTAGCCGAGTGCGCTGACAAAATAACAGATTATCTAGCAATGGCAGAGGTGCATGCCGCCACGACACAAGTGTCGCGGCCATCCGGAGCTACAGAAGAAGCTATTTGCAAACTTACCAGACAGGTGGCACAACTTTCTGCCAAATTGGAATGCCTGGAGCATCCACGAGAACGAAGCCCTCGACTGCGTAGCCGTTCACGGAGCCGAGGTCGGCGATTCCGACCATCGTCGTCCAACAGGAGTGATCACTCGTCATCCGACCTCTGCTACTACCATGCACGTTTTGGTGACCGTGCCTTTAATTGTAGAGCACCATGCAGCAAGCAGAATACCAACGACGCGGGAAACGGCTACGGCTATCTGACGCAAGACCTACGGTTATGGACGGCTATGGACTCTCGCTCAGACTCCATATTGCTGACAGGACAACGGGGCTGACGTTCCTTCTTGATACCGGAGCGGATGTCTCACTCTACCTTTTGCTGCAATCAGAGGTAAGCCTGTTATAACAGCATTTTATTTATATGCGGTAAATGAGTCGCAGGTACAAACTTACCTGCGACCTATTACTTAAATGACAAGCTGCTCAGCCTCAATCTGGATCTGCGTCGACCGATCATCCACATGGCCACATGGCGTTTCGTCGTAGCCAACATTCTTCGGGCAGTCATTGGAACCTCCTGAAAGCACACGGATTAATAGTCGATCTGGAGAGTAGACGCATCATAGACAAGCACATTAATCTCAGCATTCCAGTCTTTTCACAGTCAGTTCATCATGTGATCATCAAGATGCTGGATTAGATGTCCGAGTCGTTGCATCCTGCGAAACTTTCCGGCCATCACGCAGCCACCGCAGGCAAGCGCCACAACAGGCAAGCCGTATGGGATATGTCATCATATTGAAACGACCTTCCATTGCCAGCAAACCTCGCAGACTGCCACCTAAAAAACTCCATATTGCAAAGGCGAAATTTTAGTATCTGATGGAGCTTGAAATTTGTCGCTACTCACGCAGTCCTTGGACAGCTCCGCTTTACATGGCTCCAAAGAAGAATCACACTTGGAGACCTTGCGGCGATTATCGAGCTTTGAAGGTTTTCATGACACCAGATAGCTATCCGCTTCCACACATCCACGAACTAGCGGCCAACCTGCACGGTAAGCGAATCTTTAGCACGATCGATCTAATCCACGCTTATCACCAGGTGCCTGTAAACAAGGAGGATATACCAAAAACAGCGGTTACGACGCTGTTTATTCGGGCTTTTCGAGTTCCTTACCATTCAAGTTACGCAACGCCACTCAAACGTTCCAGCGACTGATGAACAGCATCCTCCAAGATCTCGAGTTTTGTTTCTGTTACGTGGACGACATCCTGATGGCATCGAGAAACGAGTTAGAACATCGTGAATACCTTCGACAGGTCTTCCGACGAAAGAGTCAGACATTACCATCAATCCGAGCAAGTGTGTTTTCGGCCAGAGCAGCGTTGAATTCCTCGATCATGAAGTCACTCCGGAAAGAACGAGGCCGCTTCAGCATAAAGTCAAGGCCATCGCAGATTTTCCTCGGCCTCAGACAATGATTCAACTCTGTAGATTCTTGGGCATGGTGAACTATTATCGATACAATCTAAAAAAAACGTAGCAAAGAATCAGGCACTACTAAACGAGTTGTTAAAAGATTGCAGGAAAAATAACAAGAGATTAGTACTTGGAATGATGAAAGCATCAAAGCATTTGAGGACTGCAAGGCAGAATTGATGCAAGCCACGCTTCTCGCATATCCCACCGAGACATCGCACTCTTCCTGGTGACAGATGCATCAGACACTGCAAACGGAACTGTTCTAGAGTAAATCAACAATGACAGACAACAGCCGATAACGTTTTTTTTCAAAAAAACTCGTCTCGGCGCAGAGGAAGTACAACACGTTCGATGGGGAGCTGCTGGCAATTTACGAAACCGTCAAACACTCAAGGAAATCATCCAAGGCTGACGTGTTGTTATCAAGATGGACTACACGCTCACGTACACTTTCTAACAACGATTGAAGAAAGCATTATCACAATAAGCTGGATTTGATTGCACAATTTACCACAGACATTGTGCATCTGGCCGGTGAGAAAAATACAGTCGCAGACGCATTCTCGCGCGTCAATGTAGTCCATACTTCCGTCATTGTTACCACGGAGGAGCTAGCAGAACATCAGGTAAACGACGAAAAGCTGCAACAATTACGTAGAGATGAAACATCATTGGAACTCAAGGAGCTAACAAAACTAGGCTCTGCTACCTTTATTTTGCGACTGCTCGAGAGGCACCATATGACTGTATGTTCCGAAGACTCTCAGCAAGCGCATCTTCGACATGATCCATGGAATGGTATATGCTAGTGGCACGTCAACTAACCAACAGATATGCCAAAAGTTTATCTGGCCCATGCGTATCGTGACATCAGGGCACGCACCTGTCTATAATGCCAATGAAACAAGATCCAGCGGCACAATCATCTGCTATCTAAAAAGATTCCAATACTAGAGCAGCCGTTTTCATCAAATCCATTTTGATCTTATCGGCCCATTTCCAGAAGTAAGAGGTTATCGATATTGTCTCACCTTAATCGACAGATTTTCCAGATGGCCTGAAGCTATCCAATATCAACACTCAGATGGTTAGCATTTGTGGACAACTGGGTTGCTCCGAACTCTAGCTGTTATCATCACAGATCAAGGCCGACAGTTTGAAGGCAGCCTCTTCCAAGCACTTACCAAGCTGCTAGGTTCCACCAAAATGAGAACCTCACCTAGCCTCGAATGGACTGATAGAACGCTGGCACCGCACGTTAAAGATTGCCATCACTTGCAGAGGAAATGCACACAACTGGTTAGATACACTCTGAATCGTGATGTTAGGACTACGCATCAATTACAAGCAAGATCTCAAATGCTCATCAGCAGAATGTTGTTTGGCACACTTCTCAGGATACTCGGTAAACTGCTAGAAGACGAAGTTCATCCGAACGACACTGAGACGTTCGTCCTCGCACAACGAAGACGCCTGCGAAATCTCAGGGCACAGCCGAAAAGCCATCACATCCGGATGACACCCTTCGTGCATCGCAGACTCGAAGACACCACGCACATTTTTGTCCGAGACACGAAAAAAACCATTACAGCCGCCGTACACTGGACCGCATGAAATAAGTAAGGCGCATTAACGTGAATTTATACACGATCTATATTAACGGACGGAACGTTAACACATCCATGGAATGCCTGAAGCCAGCTTACCTGCCAACGGAGGAAGACACACCAACTACGAGCCAAAAACAGCAATCCTCGGCATCAGAAGCCACGATGATCACTCGAGATGACTTTCGGTAGCGTGTTTAAAATTAAGTTCGCAATTTATTATCTTTATAATTATACTTGGTGATCTTAGTTTTATAAAAAGAGGATAAGAAGGGAAGGCGTATGCCACGACGGGACCTGATCATGAACCAGTCGTAAAAATCTAGAAGAAGAAAGAAAAAAGTAGCAAAATCATAAAGTCGTTGGTAAGTTAATATAGGAATATATTATTTACTTATATATTTTTTGGTCTGTGCTAGATGCTAATAATAGATAGGTCGATTGTTTTACTTTCGGATAAACTATGGTAATTTATTCATTCGATAAATTCATTAGATAGCAATGAATGATGCACATAAAAGATAAATCACATGCATGTGCGATTCTGAACCATATAAAGTGCACAAAAATATTTTATATTTTATACATTGATGAATATATTTTGCAGTTTTAACTACAAGATATTAAAATATTGTAAGAATTAGACGACTGTAAGCGGTCATGAAAGAGATTCGGAATATAAACAGCTAACAGAAGGGAGTCGTCGTGCAGACTAAATGTCGGATTGGTAGACGAGGGATCCCGAGTTCAAATCCAGTCGGTCTCCGTTAATTTTTTCCGAATCTAATAGATATCTTTCAATATATACATGTTTATCAAATCCATTATTTAATTATTGAACCTTATATTTAATTTATTAATAAAAAGGATTTTTAATTATTTTTGCTATTCATTCTATTTAATTTCAAACGTTTTATTATTAAAACATTTTTTCCTTCTAGGTGCGCGGTCCAAAGAAGCATCTCAAGTGTCTTAATGCCTAAAGCGTGGATGTTAGAACTCGGAGATGTATATGCCCCATGACCATCTACTGATCCACACATCTACTGATCCACACACATTCAGGGAATCATTCCCTTTGTTATCTTTCTTTATAATAGGTTGAAGTATGCCTTGATAAATTGCGAGATTACTAAAATTGTGATCAACGCTTGATCAAGATTGATGGAAAGATTCGTACTGATCCTAAATATCCAACTGATTTTATTGTGAATATTTTTTTATATTATTTTTTAATTATTTGATATAGCTCATTTTTATGTTTAATTTCAATGTTTGTGATGGCCTTATCGAAGCTGTGGCACTTACAATCTTATAAATATCATAGTCAAAAAATGGCCAATAATAATTCTTTTTTTGGTCGCAGATTGAGTTGCATATTCGTTCTGTATTACCAAAAAAATGCATGAAAATATTTTTTATTTTACATATTGATGAATATAGATAAATGTGTATTAATGATTTCACAAATTTGAATTGTCTTAGATATCATCACGATTGAAAAAACTGATGAATTTTTCATTTAATTTACGACATGAAGGGTTGTTTTGCCACTCATTTTGTTACTGCTGAAGAAGCTAAAATAAGTGTTTGTATACATAAATGTATATTAATGATTTTACAAATTTGAAATGTCTTAGATGATTTTACAAATTTGAATTGTCTTAGATGTCATCACAATTGAAAAAACTGATGAATTTTTCCATTTGATTTATGACATGAAGTGTTTTGCCACTCATTGTGTTACTGCTGAAGAAGCTAAAGTAATTGTTGTTTGTTTATATTGTACATTCTTTTTTTTATATTTAATTGTATTATATGATATTATCACCTCATCTTCATATATGATATTCTGTTTTGCAGTACAAATTGTGCAAGATAAAACGTGTTCAAACGAGTTCTGAAGGAATGCCATTTTTGGTTACGCATGATGGCAGAACAATTCGATATCTTGACCCAATTATAAAAATCAACGGTACTATTTACTTAAATATTACTACTGGCAAGATTTTGGATTCCATCAGATTTAATTCTGATAATTACATACAAAACTTAGAGAGAATATAAATGTTGGGTTAGGTTTAAATTACGCGGGCGCTTTGATTGGCGTCATCTGGAACGAGTGTGTGGTGTCGCATTTTCGGCGGGTCTGTCTGCCGGCGATTTTGGAGCGAGTACCTTCGCGGTTCCTGGTTGTTCGAAATGTATAAGTTAGTTAGAGTTAATAAATCACTGGATTAGTTTTGTTCAACGTAATCACTGTTCATTTTCTTCCACGTGCCTCAAAAATATACAATAGTTGGCGACGAGGATGGGATTAGAAAGAAGAAAAGAAAAAAAAAGTTCGTGACTTTCCATTAGTACAAAGAAGAAGTACATGTGTCAACGTTACGTTATACGTTTCGAGTGAAATAAGAAAAAGATTTTAGTGATTGCTATGCGAAAAATATGGCACTATCAGCCACACAAGTTCCAACGGCACAGATTCCTAGTTCGTTTACAATCGAGCCTTTCGATCCAAAAACTACTACGTGGAAACAATGACATCAACGACTCGAAGAAGCTTTTTCAATTTTTAATATTCTAAAGGAAAGGAAAGTACCGTATTTATTACACTACATCGGACCAAATGCTTTCGATGTCCTTTGCGACAGATTTGATCCAGAGGATCCGTTCAAGAAAGATTATAAAACGATAACGGAAAAACTAACGGATTTTTACGATCCAGCACCGTTAGAAATTGCTGAAAATTTTCGTTTTCATCAACGTAAACAAATGGAAGGAGAATCGATACAGCAATTCGCATCGGCTTTACACAAGCTCAGCATACATTGCAACTTTGGAACGTACCTAAAAACAGCTCTTCGAAACCAATTTATATTTGCTTTACGAGATAAAAGAATGCAAGCGAGGCTTCTAGAAAAAAAGGAATTAGACTACGATATGGCAGTTCAAGCGGCTACGACGATGGAGTTATCGGAAAAAGGCGCGAAACAACTACAAGGAGAAACAGCGACCGTCGCATATACAAAACAAAAAGCAGCAAAAACACAAGTACAAAGACAAGTCAAACATAGAAAAAGGTAATATCGGGAACAAAGTTTCCAATTTCAAATTCAATAAGAATACGAGTGCCAATACAAATGTAAATAAAACTTATAATGTAAAATTCGAATTTAAAATGTTATAAATGTGGAGGTGCACACCTAACAACTAGGTGTACATTAAATAGGGAAGTCCGATGCAATGGTTGTGGCGTAAAAGAACACTTACAAAAAGTATGTTTTAAACAGCGAAATCAAACAAACTGCTTAGAAGAAATTTTACACTTGGAACAAGTCTGCGCGCGAGATAAAGTGTACGTCACCTTAAAGGTAAATAAGAAATATCTGAGATTTGAAATAGATAGTGGTTCCGCAGTAACGATTATGAATATAAACCAAGCGAAAATATTATTTCCATATTCGTCTATCCATGAAAGTGATTTAAAATTAATATCATATTGTAATAAGAGAGTAAACACAGAAGGATTTATGGTAGTTAAAGTAGAATTCGATAATAAAGTATACAATTTAAATTTATATTTGACTGATATTGAAAAAGAATCTCTTTTGGGCTGAGAATGGCTGCATCAAATAAAGAATTTGAATTCAATTTTTGAAGGAGTAGGAAACATTCACTCGATTAATTGTAGGTTGGAAAATAGACATGAGAAGTTAAATAATTTACTGAAAAAGTTTCATAATTTAGTAACAGGAGATTCTAAACCAATAAATGGTATTCAAGCAAGTTTAAATTTGAAAAAGAAGGCAACTCCAGTATTTTTGAAAGCAAGACAAATTCCTTTCAAACTTATACCGTTAGTAGAAAAGTTGGAAGATCTGGAAAAGAAAGGGATTTTGAAAAAAGTAAATTCCTCAAAATGGGCTACACCAATTGTACCTGTGTTGAAGTCAAATAATAAAATTAGAATTTGTGAAGATTACAGCGGTACATTGAATCCACAACTAATCATTGATGAACACCCTCTGCCTATCATTGATGAACTTTTTGCATCAATGGCTGGGGGAGTAACCTTCTCCAAAATAGATCTCCAACAAGCGTATTTACAAATGGAAATTAAAAAAGAATGTCAAGAACTTTTAACGTTAAATACACATAAGGGATTGTACAAATCGACTAGATTAATGTATGGAGTGGCATCTGCGCCAGCAATATGGCAAAGGGAAATCGAAAATATATTGAAAAGAATAGATGGTGTAACCGTTTTTCTAGACGACATTAAAATAACTGGTAGATCGGACACAGAACATTTACAAAGAATCGAATTAGTTTTTCAAAGGTTGAATACAATTTAAAAGTTAATGTCGATAAACGTCAATTTTTTCAAAAACAAATCGATTATTGTGGTTATACAATAGATAAGGATGGTATCCATAAAAGTCAAAGTAAAATTGAGGCGATTGATAAAATGGAGCGTCCGAAAACCGTAACGGAATTGAGATCATTCATAGGAATGATAAATTATTACGGCAGATTTATTCCAAATTTAAGTACGATTTTGGGACCGTTAAATAATTTGTTAAAAAAACATTGTAAATTTGTATGGTCTACAGAGTGTGAGAAAGCGTTCGTGAAAGCGAAAAAAGAATTTCAAAATGAACGAGTTTTAGTACATTTCAACCCAGATTTACCTCTTGTGTTGGCAACGGACGCGAGTCCATACGGTGTAGGGGCAGTTGTGTCCCATCTATATCCAGATGGTTCAGAGAGACCCATTCAATTCGCCTCACGAGCGCTATCTGAGACTCAAAAGAAGTACGCGCAAATCGATAAGGAAGCTTATAGTATTATATACGGAATTAAAAAATTTCACCAGTATTTATACGGGAGAAAATTTTTACTAATTACAGACCATCGTCCGTTGGTACAAATCTTTTCACCTGAAAAAGGGTTGCCAGTATATTCTGCAATGCGAATGCAACATTACGCAATTTTTTTAAGAGGATTTACGTACGAAATAAAATATAGAAAATCAGAATTATATGGTAACGCAGATTGTTTATCACGGTTATCTATACAAAATAATGAAAACATTTACGATACAGTTGATGTATTTCAATTGGAAACAATTGAATCATTATCGGTTACAAGCGATCAGTTAGCAAAAGAAACTGAAAATGATCCTGCTTTGAGAAGGTTGCGTATGTTGTTAGCAGAAGGTAAAGAAATTCCAGAGAATGAACGATGGCATATAAACCAACAAGAATTTTCGATACAAGGAAACGTCGTTTTACGTGGTCACAAAGCAATAATTCCAAAAACTTTAAGATTCAAAGTTTTACAAGAATTGCACGTAGGCCATTTTGGTATTGTTAAGATGAAAAATTTAGCGAGGGGATATTGCTGGTGGCCAGGTATAGACTCAGACATTGAAAAATTAGTACAAAATTGTGTTCAATGTAATAGTTTCAAAAATAACCTGAGGAAGGTAGAACAGCATATATGAGAACCTTCTGAAGCTCTAATGCATAGAATACATATCGATTTTGCGGGACCCTTCTTGGGATATAATTTTTTCGTTTTAGTCGACGCATATTCAAAATGGCCTGAGGTACACATATTGAAAAATATAACGGCACAACTACAATTCAAAAATGTAGGGAAATTTTTGCAGCATACGGATTCCCTAAGGTCATTGTGAGTGATAATGGTCGTACGTTTGTTTCTACAGAATTCGGGTCGTTTTTGAAACTAAACGGAATTCTTTTGAAAAATACAACACCGTATAACCCATCTACAAATGGACAAGTGGAGCGTTTTGTACAAACTTTAAAGAAATCCTTAAGAAGTATGAAATGTAATAAAGAAAATGTACATTTACAATTACAAAGATTGCTGCAATACAGAAATACGGCACATGCGGTTACCGGGAAAAGTCCAGCAGAACTATTTTTAGGAAGGAAATTGAGAACACGACTAGATTTACTTGTATCAATCAAAGAAACTTATGTAAATAGCGATGTAAATAATAATAGAAATATTGTATTTTTTAATGAGAGAGAGAGAGTGAATTGTAGAGATTATATCGGAAAATCTAAATGGAGATTCGGTAAGATAATTCAAAGATTAGGAAAACTACATTAGCAAATTGAGCTAGACGATAAACAAATAAAAATGGAAAAGACATGTAAATCAAATAAGGAAGATAGGGGAAGGAACTCCCGATCAAACGATGCAGGATTCGTATGTCCCGCATTGGGATCTTGAGGCGGAAATAAAAAACGAGTCACGGAACAAGAGATCCAAATACAAGTACACAGAGAAGAACAGGTTCGGGTTGAACCCGAAGCAAAACAACCATTGCAGCTTCCTCTACAGCAACGAGAGAATCGTACACCCATTAAGGGAACAGTACAAGTAGAAGTGCCGGAAACGATACGGCGTTCGAGTAGGGCTAAAAAGAAGCCGGAACGTTTCCATGATTTTGTTACACAAATGGATAATATCGATTAGATGTATTAGGAAAAGGAGATGCAGTTGGGGGAAACGGAATCTCTCGTTACGGCTCCGCAAATTAGTTTTAAGGATTTTAGAAGCGGTACTATGTTTCGTTTTTGATAGGAGGATAGCACTTTCTAAGAGAAGAGGGTGTTGGGTTAGGTTTAAATTATGCGGGCGCTTTGATTGACGCCATCTGGAACGAGTGTGTGGTGTCGCATTTTCGGCGGGTCTGTCTGCCGGCGACTTTGGAGCGAGTACCTTCGCGGCTCTTGGTTGTTCGAAATGTATAAGTTAGTTAGAGTTAATAAATCACTGGATTAGTTTTGTTCAACGTAATCACTGTTTATTTTCTTCCACATGCCTCAAAAATACACAACAACAAATATTGAAAAGAAGACATTGAATGTATTATTTACATTGTATTATTAGGTGTACAAAAAAGTTCTGAGTTTTAGATTTCATACAACCGAAATAACAATTTAAATTTTATATATTTTCCCCCCCTTTTGCGATTTTAAAGCGTTGACATTTGGCCTTCTAAAATGCCATACGGTTTGGCGTTTGATGCACATAACCTCAAAAATCACTAGTATTCACGATGGTAATAACAAAAGAGCATATTCGATTTTCCATTCATTTCGCGTTTCATCTGAAGAAAAATGCTGCTGAAGCCACTGATGAATGATTTGTGCTGCACGGAGAGAACGCTGTAAGTCATACTATATGTAAAAGATGGTATCAAAAATTTCGCCAAGGAGATTTCAGTCTTGAAGATGAACCGCATGCTGGACGCCCTCAAAAGATTGAAACGGACGAATTGCAAGCACTGCTGGATATAAACTCTGCGCAAACTGAAAAGGAGCTTGCAGAACAGCTTGGCGTTACGCAGCAAACCATTTCCGTACGTTTACATACGATGGGAAAGGTTTAGAAGGAAGGCAGATGGGTTCCGCATGAATTGTCCGAAAACAACCAAAAATCGCCGGCGTGACACTGCACTTACTTTGCTTTCAAAGTTACGGAAAAAAGATTTTCTGCACAAAATCATTACAGGCGATGAAAAGTGGATTCTTTATGATAACCCTAAACGTAGAAAATCATGAATTGATCCTGATCAATCTTCGACATCGACGCCAAAGCCCAATATCCACGCCAAGAAGATTTTGAGAGTTGTTACAACCGGGTGAAACAATCACGGCAGACCGCTACCAACAACAATTGATCAATTTGAGCGATGCATTAAAAAAAAAGAGACCATTTACTGGCCAAGGATGTCGTAAAGTGATCTTGCTTCATGACAATGCTCGACCACATGTTGCGAAAGCGACTCAGGACCATATCTTTGCGTTAGGCTGGGAACTTCTCCCACACGCGGTGTATAGCCCAGACATGGTGCCTTCCGATTACTACCTATTCCGGTTGCTGCAGTATCATTTGGCTGATACACATTTCGTGAGATTTGAAGAGATACGAAAATGCATTGATGACTTTATCGCTTCGAAGCCGGTGAGCTTCTATCGTCAAGGAATTGGCAAGCTACCCGAAAGATGGCAAAGGGTTGTTGATACAAATGAGGAATATTTCGCTGATTAATATTTTTTTGTTTGTTTTTGAATAAAGATTTAATTTTACAAAAAAAAGCTCAGAACTTTTTTGTACACCTAATACATATATTGTACATATATTGTAATATCGGTATATTTATTGAAAAATATTAACACGCTTTTCAATTTCTATGTAATTAAATTTTATTACTGGTACGTTTATTGAAATATATTAAAACAATTACATTTTCAATTATTGTTTAGAAATATATAACGAGTATTAGCATAAGAATATTATATACATTATATACATTATTATATATTACTTTTGTTTAGATATGGAAAGATATGAAAAGCAACTTATCAAAGAAGACAGCAAAAATAAGAAATGAACGGAATCGAATAGGAAATTTTTCAGTAAATTCAGAATTTTTTGATAATTTAGAACAACGTGTCGTCACTTGTATGGATTTAGATTATGTACAAAGTTTCTATAACTCCTGATAATACACCAGAGGAAGAGGTATATGCATATATGTAGCATCTGTCTTTTTTTCGTAATTTATAATGTGAATTACTTCTGTGGAAAACCATTACTTTTCTCACATTAGCTACTGATTTGGGATTTCTCTATTTTATCTCAACATTCTTTTTTATTACAATATTTTTAGATTTTTAGATTTGTGATCCTGATTTAAAAATTCTGAATGCATATCCAGGAGCATGTCATGACGCATATATTTGGTCTCTCAATTCACCAGTACGTTGCATTATGGAACGGCGTTTTAGAAACCGAGAACATAATACATGGTTAATTGGTAAGTTATAAATTACTAAAAAAAAAGTTGTAAACTAAAGTAATACTAAAATAGTAAATAATAAATAATTTTCATAGGTAATGATGGCTTAAATAGACAGAATTGGTATTGGAGATAATGAACGACAATATGCATATCAAAAACGTGCAACCACAACCCGTATACAGGAAAATTTTATTACCCGTCAATATGAGAGAATTTAACTGATTTAAAAAAACAGAGCTTCTAACGTCGATTTGTAAGTTTCACATAGCAAATGTTTTCGTTTTGAATTAGCCGAACATTTTAAATAATATAACATATTTATTACAATATTTTTAAGAAGCATTTTAGTATATTATTGTTTATTATCTATTTTAAATAAATGATCTGTTTTTTGTTGTATCTGCTATAGGAAACATGCAAATAAGGAGATAGATATGCGGGAGATGCTGGTGAGAAGCAGAAAAAGTACGGCTACTCAATGTGATATATATGATTAGTCATTTGATACAATAACGGCAACTATAAGGCACAGTTTTAAGATGCATCCTAATTTACCGAATAAATTCTATTGTTTCTATTGTGAAAAGCAATTTTCTCTAAAGGTAAATGCATCATAATATCTCATTTTGTTTCACTTTTATTTCTATAATAATCTCATGATAACGTATTGTTCAGACTCGTACAGATAGCCATCAAATATCACATGACACATCTGAAAGCGAGAAGAAAGAGGAGCATAGAAAATGCAATGTGTTATTTTATAATCAGAAAGCGCTGAATTAATGTAGAATTCATGTTGGTTTATTATTTAACTTAGTATATAATTTAAGTTAGTATATAATTTATGCAAGTTTCTTTTAAGTTTAATTTAGGCAGTTTTCAATAATTTTAATATTCTGCTCGTTTAGCAAAAGTCTTCGTTCTTCGAGTTTAAGTCGACGTTCTTCCAAAGCAACACGCTTTTCATCGTTTTGAGCAACTAACAATGCAGTTTCAGCTTGCTTCATTGAAGCTTCTGCAAATAGCTATTCAAATTTATTATTATTATTATTATCATTATCTAATATTATCATTATTACCATCATAGTTGTTATTGTCCATCTTCTACATGAAAGTAAAAATCAATTTCTAATAATAAATTAATATTTATATATGAATACAATGTTAAATGTTACTTTTAACACAGCTGCGTGATTCTTGGCTATTTCGGTAAATCTCTCACGCGCTTCCTTTAATTGTGCTCCAATTCGTGGTCTATTTTTTCCTACGCAATACAATATAATGATAAATATAAATAATGATAATAATAATGATAATGATAAAGACAGAAAGATTGCTTTAGATTCGATATTTGTTTTCCACTTATTACACTTATTTCATTTATTGAAACAATATTATTTTCAACGAAACATTTCGTTAAATAAAAATGTTTTAATTTTGTTGCATCGCACTGGCTACTGAGTGCTGGGACTGTCATTCATGAACGACAGAGTCCGCATCGGTGGGATTTTCAAACAATAAGTCGAGTGTTAAAACTATTTCTTTTTGAAAATAGAGTCCGTCACAAATTTATTAAGTCTAAAGAAATCTTTCTTTTTGTGTGTGTGTGTGTGTGTGTGCGCGCGCGCGCGCGCGCGCGTGTGTGTTGTTTTTCAAAGTTTTTATTTCTTTCTCTTCTTTCCTTTTTGGAACATTATATACATTATATACATTATATACATCTTCTCTATTCCGTATTATACAAATATTTACTTACTGTAATTTATTAGAGTTGTTTGTGAAACTCTTTCTTTATTTCGTGATGTTTTCAAATTTTGAGTTTTATTTTTTTGTCGTAGAAGTACTTGTATTAGTCTGAACATTATCTTCTTCAAGTATATATCAACAAAAGTCAAGCTTTCATTATCGTTCATTATATTTTTCCATTAATACTATGTCTTCAAGTGTATTATTTTCTTCACATAGTTTATGATTGCCTAAATAAATATATCCGAATTAATATAAAATGTCGCACTCGTGGCGGGTTCGCTCGCGTCACTCTCGCGCAAGGAAAGGAAGAAACGGTTAAAAAGGAAACACACTTTATTAAACACCAAGCACAGGAGCGATAGTAAGAGTTTTACGCAGTTAAATAATAATTCGCCGCGACACAGCTCAAACTCGCCTGCCGTGCCGACGACTCTCTCGTCAAAACAATCGCTTGACGACCGCGTCGGCAAGGAATGATCTTCAAGTTGGAAATGTATGAGGGTAACGTCGAGTGGAACCGCTCGGTCGTAATACTATCCCCCTCCTCTTTGAAATTGTCATCCCGACAATTCCAGGGAACTCCCTCGCAGAAAAGTCGGCTTCTTCTTCCATGGTGAAGCTCTCAGGGAATCTGTCAGCTTCTCTACCTCGAGCTGCTGCGGGTTACCGAACGCCGAATCAGTCCCAAACTTCATCCTGGAAGTTCCGTGCCGCTGCGAGGTCATCTTCCTTCTTCTTTCTTCTTCCGAGATGTTTCTTTATCTCTTGTGCCTTGCGCACTTCCTTCTTGAATCTTTGGACAAGGGAGGGGGGAAGCTTCTGTGGACCCTTTCGTTCTTATGGACACCCCAAGTCCCCGCCTCGGCATTTGCCCTAAGTCCCTCGGAAAAACCACGGTTCAAAAAAACTGAAGGCGAGGCGGATTTCTTAAAAAAAAAAGGATTTCCTTAGCCAGATGTTCGGACAAAAAGCGAAAGATCTTCCTCCCCACGTCGTTTTTGCACAACTCCTCTTCATGAAATACTTAAAGAAAACAAAGAAACAGTAATTTATAAAATAAGAACATCTTTCAATATTTTCCCTTCTTTGGACGGAAAGAACAATCGACTTCCCCACAGGCTTCGATAAAAACCACGACCCAATCTAGAACACTTCCCCGAAACGGAATTCACACATGAACGAGTTCCTCTCTAACAGACACTTAGAAGAAACTTCGAAGATCATAAGACTCTCTAATTATTTGATTTTTCCCTCCTATCTAAAACCAAGACATCGAAGCCAAACTTGAAAAACGTATCCATCCGACAATCAATCCGTGTCAAAAGAAAACTCATCATAAAAGAATTTTCTTTAACTCAAAAGTGCGCAAAAGCAAATGAAAAGAAAAACAAAATTTATCTTATAAAAGCGAAAAGAAATTAATTAATTAACGACTGGCCTGGCATTTAACACTGTCATCCAGTCGCCGCTCCTTTCTAAGAAGACAAAGCTCCTCAATGGTCATTCGGAGAACTATCTCCAAGCTCGGAGTCGTTTCTGATTCCTCCGTACGCACACAAGCTCTCTTTCTTATCGAGACAGCCCGTTTCCCCGACGCTCCTTCCTGTCCCTCCTCCGTCACTGTTTTCTTTCTTTTCTATTTCGCTTGACGCTCCGCCATGTTTTTCATATCCCGGACGAGCCCCCAAAAATGTCGCACTCGCGACGGGTCCGCTCGCGTCACTCTCGCGTAAGGAAAGGAAGAAACGGTTAAAAAGGAAATATACTTTATTAAACACTAAGCACAGGAGCGATAACAAGAGCTTTACGCAGTTAAATAATAATTCGCCGCGACACAGCTCAAACTCGCGCGCCGCGCCGACGACCAAACAACGCCAAAACAACGCTTGACAACCGCTTGATGACTGTGTCGGCAAGGAATGATCTTCAAGTTGGAAATGTATGAGGGTAGCGGAACACCGCTCGGTCGTAACAATACATTATAATAAATATATGTATAATAAGTTAAAATACTTGCTGTTTTTATACATTTCAATATTACTATTGTTTGTATCATAGTTTTCTTTTAAAATGTAGCAATAGATGATACTGCAGGTGGATAGTCAAGAACTTCTTTGTTTCTTTTTTCCAATTCGAGTTGATGCTCCTGAATATATATATAAAACAAGAAATAAAATTATGTTTTCCACAAAAAGTAATTCACATTATAAATTACGAAAAAAAAGACAGATGCTACATATACGTATATACCTCTTCTTCTGGTGTACTATCTGGACAAGTTATAAAACCTTGTACCTTTGTAATCTAAACCCATACAAGTGATAACACGCTGCTCCAAATTGTCCAAAGATTCTGAATTTATAGGAGAATTTCCCGTTCGATTCCGTTCATTTCTTATTCTTGTTCTTTTTCAATGCATTGCTTTTCATATTCTTTTCATATCTTTTCATACCTCTCCATATCTAAACAAGACTAATGTATAATAATAGATATAATGTATATAATGTATATAATAATATAATGGATATAATGAATATAATGTATCTAATGTATATAATAATATAATGGATATAATGGATATAATGCATATAACATATAATAATATAATGGATGTAATGTATTTAATATATATGATGTATATAATGTATATAATGTTCTTATGTTAATACTCGTCAAATACTTCCAAACAATAATTGAAAATTTAATTGTATAGAAATTACGATGAAAAGCGTGTTAATATTTTTCAATAA